TAAAACTAGAACAACCCACATCCTTAACTATTTGCGAACAGTAATCTAATCTAGGTCTACCTCTACCCCTCCTAACTCCTATTTCTGCCTCTAATATGTCTCTGACTAGACCTTCATGGCTGTGAAGGTGTCCTATCAACATATCTCGCCTATTTTTTATTGACTTCCACAGAGTCCTTTCTTCTCCTATTCTTTCCAATACCTCTTCATTTTTAATCTTTTCTACCCACGTTATCCTCATCATCCGCCTATAACACCACATTTCGAACGCATCTAACCTTGATGAAGGTCTACTCAGAGGCATATTAGAGGCAGAAACGGAAGTTAGGAGAGGAAATAGTTAAGGATGTGGGTTGTTCTAATTTTAAGGAAATGCGAAGATTAGCTCAGGATAGGAAAGAGTGGAGGTGCGTGTCCAACCACTCCTAGGACTGACGACTTTATGATGATGATGTTATCAGTTATGGTAACAGACATCTTTCGAAATTATCATGTAGTAATTACTTACCGTGGGTTTGGGACTTCCCGTTATTTTAGCTTTAATCTCCAATGGTTCTCCTTCACTGACATCCAAAGATCTTTCCATACGTATTCCAAACCCTGGGGGAGTTTGAGTCATGGATATCCGAGCCGTGGTTTCAGCTTCACCCGCACAATTTACAGCCATTGCTTTATACTAAAAGGAAGGTTTTTATGTGATCAGACATTTACTAGAATATCGTTTCGGATTATATGAGATATAAAATTTTCATTTACCTGTCCGATGTCGTCCAAGTTGTACCCTTGTATGACAAGACTGCTAGTAACTTGGGTTTTAGCAATTGTATCGATTTTATGATTGAGATCTTCTGCGACCGGTTTACCGTTAAAGAACCAGCTTATCTCAGGTCGTGGTAAGCCATCAGCCCTAACTTTGAGTACGATCTCTCCACCGTCCTCCACCTGAGCGTCCGCTAATCCGGTGATGAATTGAGGCTTCTCAGCTGAAATGTTCACAAATGCGCGTCTTACAGAAACTTTGAACCGACAAGTTAGAATATAAACATTCTTGCCTTTTAATGAAAGCAAGCTGTGTAAGTATATACCTATGTGCATAGCGTTATTTATAATACTGGAACTATTTAGATATTTTTGGTTTTTGTCGGAGCGATGCATGTGTTGTACAATCGACGGATTTAAGCCACATACTTAGTGAATTATGATTGTAAACACTTCCTCGTGTAGCTATTTTTGAAAGTGTGGAAGACTTTGATAGTGTAAACTTGAAAATTTTTAGAGTGTTTAAAGTTGAATTACCCAATTAAAGAAAATAACAAAATTTGGAATCTTAACAGGCAACACAGTTTGTTCGGAATGTATTTACATTTGTTTTAATTTGATTCCTTTCACAAAATTATTTGTATAAAGTTTTTTATTTATTGTAAAACCACATCAACTCTTGCTCCAGTTGAGAGTCTTTCTCAAGGTAGGTTTCAAATAATTCGTTGTGTCGGCTTCATAACTTAGAAAACCTACCTTGAGAAACTCAATTATCCTTAAAATAAAATAATTCGAAGTGGTCTGTATTCTGTCTAAACTGCCAGACGCGGATCGCGATTTCGATCTTTTTGGATCTCATTAGCACGTCGCAGACAGCTCCGACAGAACACACACCAACTATTACCTGCTGTCTTAACAGCGCATTTTAGAAAATACCACAAATTGCGCGGAAAACGCCATCTGTAGTACGATGCTACATTTTAGAATTGTTCCGGCGTAGCTAAACTCAACGTGATAGGCACGTTACCATAATCGAATAAAATAATCCAAAAAGGTCTGTATTCTATCTGCGACGCGCTGATGAGATCCAAAAAGATCGAAATCGCGATCCGCGTCTGGCAGTTTCGACAGAATACAGACGACTTCGAATTATTTTCGGTTATGGTAACGTGCCTATCACGTTGAGGTGAGCTACACCGGGATTCTTTTCAGCAAGTATTTAAATGGACCTTGTTGGAACATACGAAATCCTAAAATGTAGCATCGTACCACAGATGGCGTTTTCCGCGCAATTTGTGGTATTTTCTCAATTATTCTTGGTGAAACGACGTTGTGTTTTTACAATAAATAAAAGGTCTTATTCACTCTTATCAACTCTTGAGTTTTGCGTATTGTAACTATAGGGGAAGAAATGGTGTTGATATTTTGTTTTTCCGTTTGTTGTGATTACCTAAAATTTTGCTTAGCTTAGCTTAGCTTAGCAATAAAACAACCATAAAAGCATTGCGAATTAAATTTATTTAAACGCAATCCAAAATGCATTCTCCATAATGGATATGTCTGTGAGCAGCATTTAGAATGTGTAAGATAAGCAGTGTTATTTTTGGTGATTCGCTTGTGATGATCGTGATTTTTTCTGTAAGCAGGTCGACAAAAAACTGTTGGGTAAATGTAGTTGAACTTACTTGTGGGTTCGGGTTCCTCTGTAAAATTGATTGCATTATTAATAATGTATGTACTTTACGGTACCAAAGTTATGTAAAATAGAAATAACGTATGTAAAAAGTTGTAAACGTGTAAAATATAGGGAGAGAGTATAGACAATAAAAAAGTATGTGTATATAGGGCGTCAATAAAGAAAGGGACATCACACAACTGCAGATTTTGTCAAATACGTTTTCGTAATAAGATACAGGATGTTAAATGTAAAATTATTACTCAGAGTTTTTTAAAATTACTCCAAAATATGCAAGGTAATACGAGGGTAAGAAATGAAAACTGTTAATTCTTTTTTGTTTTCAAAATGGTCCACTGCCAAACATGAACTTAAAGTTCATAATAATTATCAAGTTACGGCAGTGTGTTGTCATCTGCGAGGGTTCATTTTTAAATCCATTAATGAGGGTAGTTGCTAAATCCTAACAAATTAATTGACAATTATTAGTATAACCACCAAGATTTATCGCAGTAGGGTAACTAGTCTTTGAACTATCGCCAACCAAGCAACTCAATCGAGAAGAAAGTATGAAATAAGGAGAAAATTGAGTACCGCGCTATTATTGCTATTAACGAGAAAATGTTCAAACCGTACTGGAAGAGACGAAAGTGGCACAGTCTCTTTAAACAAGTCAAGACACAACTTCAAGACTATGCGTACGAACAATTGATGTGTCCACTCCAGAAAGTTGAAAAATTCATATTGGAAGATGTTCGATTAAAGAAAAACCCAGAGAATACTATGCTCCTTCTATACACCAATGTTCCCGTTCACAAGAATTGCGGTACGTTAGTTGTACTGCATAAAGTAGGCTTCGATATGTTAGATCATCCTCCCTACAGCTCTGACCTGGCTCCCAGCAGGTATTATGTATTCCCAAAGATGAGGCGATGAAGAAGTGAAAGACGCAGTTTCAGTCTATTTTTCGGATGAAAGCGATTTCCATGTTACTTTTTTACACTTGTTTTTTTTCTTTTTAATTTTGGATATTTAGCACCCTGCAGTTTTTTAATGATCGATGTTTTATTAAAGTTTATTGATGTCCGGAATTCTGAGTTGTCAAACGTCCCTTTTATTTATATAAACTATCGCATATAAATTTGTACAGTATATCTATTACAACTTGTACTCTTAAAACAATTCGTAGTGAAAATATTTTTTAACATACTTATCGTTTTCAATCGGGTTCTACTATTAGATTCCCCATATTCGTTCTTGGCCACAACTTCGTAGTGCCCTGCGTCATTTACTTCCACTTTTTTAATAATAAGTTTATAGATTTCATTTGGCGTATCTTCTAAAACTTCGAAGGCAAAATCGGGACGTATAACTTGACCGTCTTTAATCCTTTAAAAAAGAAAATAGTTTCGTCACTAATTTTCCTTTCATTGTCGCTTTTTTAAATTTTTGAATGTACAGTGTAAACTCTTTATAACGTCACTCGATTTAACGACAAACTCCTTAAAACGTCGAAATTGCTTGACTTTGGTTGGTTTACATTGTTTTCTATACAATATTACACTCTACATAGCGTCACGCTCACTCTATTTAGTGACAACACTGCGGCATTATAAATCATTAAGCAGTACTTTCTAAGTTGCCGAAATAGATAAGAACTGCAGCTGTGTACGTTGTTGAAGAAGACGATCCTGTCTCTCCACCAAGCATCAAACAAGCACTTGATGCAACGAAACTATTAAAAAAATACTTTTTATATAATCAAATTGATCCAGCAGTATCTCAAGATATGAGTAAGATACGTAACAAAATACAATTAAAATATTGGAGCAGCAAAAAACATCAGACGAAGATAACAGGCTATACGCAATGTATGAATAATAATGTTCGTGTGCAAAATGTGTACTATATTGGTAAAAGCATATTATTATAGAATAGTAAAATAATACCTTTTATTTCTCTCCATTTAACGGCCATTCTTTATAACGCCGAAAAATGTTCAGTCCCTTAAGTGTCGTTATATAGAGTTTACACTGTACCTGTATATGTATAATACATTTAAATGGAAGCGGTATTTATAAAATAGTATGGCATGAAAATAAATGAATGTAAAACAAAAATATTGGTATGAAAGGGAAGAAAAAGTAGAGGAAGAATGAGGATGCAGATGGGAGAGGAAAAAGTAGAAGAAATTATTGATTTTCGGTATTTAGAAAGTCAGATAATTCAGGATGGAAGGAGCAGTAAAGATATAAAACAAAGACAGGCCAGGGTCTAGTTGCCTTTAACAAAAAGAAGTCAGTGCTATGCTCTGTAACGGTTAATTTAGAAATTAGAATAAGACAGGATGTGTTACTGGAGCACGGCTTTGTAGGGGTGCGAAACATGGACGTTAGGCGCAGTGGAAGAGAAAAGATTATATGTTTTATAGAAGCGTTAGTGTTACAGGCGAATGATGAGGATACCGTGGATAGAAAAGGTTGAAAATTAAGGAGGTATTTGAAAAAGCAAGAGAACAGAGGGCGCTATGGAAATCAAGAAGAAATAGGCGAGATAGGCTGGTAGGACACTTTCTGATGCATGAATAGGTATATATTAGAAGCAGAAACAGGAGTCAAGAGGGATACAGATAGATGTAAATTAAATACTGTTCACAAAGGATGGAGATGTTCTAGTCTTAAAGAAATGTGAAGATTTGCTCATTATAGAAAAGGGTGGAGGTGCCTGTCCAACCAGACTGACGACCCTATGGTGATGATGATGATTGTGAGTCATACCATGTGATTTCTGGTTCAGGACAAGCGTGCACTTTTATTTCGAATTCTGCAGCATCTCCTGGAACAGCTGCAACGTCTTCAGGTCCTTCAATTTCCGGTTTAAATACAATAGTTAGTTGGGCACTACTTTCACATTCGCCCCATTTGTTCTTCGCTTTAATTGTGTATTTACCCCCGTTTACTTCTTCGCCTAATACGTAGAAAAAGTTTAATAAATTAGTAAAGACATTATTATAATCCTTTGCCATTGTTATTATTTGTTTTGCTTAATAAATGTCTTACATCTTGGTATTGTTAGAGAGAAGGTACATTCCTTTAGGTTGTCTTCTATTTCCTTGTCGTCAGCGTCTAAAACCATTTTGTACTTTTCAAATTCATCTTCAGTTAATTCTTTACCGTCTTTGCACCTAAATATTAAGGAGGGAAATTGTGAAGATTATTCGTAATTTATTGAGAATTATATTTTATTATTTACCATATTATTATAGGTTCAGGATCCCCAACGATTACAGCTGATAGTTTAACTCCTTTCTTTTTGAGGATTTTTTGATCTTCTAATCCTTGTTTTATTTTTGGTCTTCTTAATTCTCCTTCAGCTGCAAGTACAAAAGAAATCCTTAGGAGTATAATTGTTAAAATAAAAAACACAGCAACACAATAACATTTTTTAATTCTTTAAAGTTATTAATCTGAAAAAATCTTAGCGTTTATTAATCAATTTTTACTTTTTTTGATAATAATTGATGACATATTGTGTTAATAAAAAGCAAATTACTTTTATATATTCTTGAAACATATTGTCACATGCGTATAGGCAACCTGGCTACAAAGAAGACCAGGTTTCTAGAGGGCATATGTTGGATCATTCTAGAATATTGCCAGCCTCTATTTATAGATCGAGTTACGTGGTGATACAAAGCGAAGAAGTGACAAAAGAAAGACATATAGTGGCGAATTGATAAGTAATTAATAATAAATGTGTTAATTAGACAGCAAATAGTTAAATAAAAGTAGTAATAGTGTGAGAAGGT